TCCGACGGCACGTCGACGTCCGGGTCGGCGTGGCCGAGCCAGGCCACGGAAGGCGGCATGGCCCGCTGGATGGCGGCGCCGAGCGCCGCGAGCGGGTCCCGCGTGACCGCGCACTCGTCGAAGAGCTCGCCCGCGTCGATGCCGAACTGGGAGAAGTTCTCGTCGAGGAGCGCGCGCAGGATCGCGGGGTCGCGGACCATGCGCTCGAGGCCCCGCTGCTGCTGCAGCTGCCGGTACGCGTCGGTTCCGGGGGGCACAAACGTCGAGGGCGGGCGCTCCGCGTAGGGGTCGTCGACGCCGTCGTCCTCCGTGGACGCCATGGTCGCGTCCGAGGAGTACGTCTTCGTGATGATGACGAAGGCCTTGGCGCCGCGGCCGCCCTCGCGCGCCGTGGCGCTGTGGCGCTCTTCGGCGTTGTAGCCGCCGTCCTCGCCGAAGTGCTTGAGCCGCCAATTGCGCGCGTGGCGGAGGCCCTCGAAGCTGGAGTACGTGCAGGTCTTGCCGGGCCCGCGGAGGAACTCCGTGACCTTGGAGTGGTAGGGCACGATCGCCCGCGGCTGGCGCCAGGAGACGGCGTGTTCGCGCTCACCGACGAGCGCCGACGGCGCTTCGACGCCTGTGGCCGTCAGCTCCGTCTCCATCGACGCCGGCTCGTCCATCGCTGTCGTGACGCGGCGCGCGACGCGACGGCGCACGAAATGATCCGACCGAGGTCAAGGAACTCACGTGTGGTGCAACGGATCGGCGCAGCGAGGGATTGCGCGAGGTCAAATCAACTGCGACTTGCGATCGATATTTTTGCCGCAGGCGAGGAGCTCCCCTCGACGCCTCATCGGGAGCCGTCCTGGAGGCGACCCAGGACACTGGCTGCCCCCGGAGGCGTCGGCGGAGGATACACACTGGACTTTGCATCGGGAGCGCTCGTCTAGACTTCCGGCACGGGATGCGCGCGAAGATGCGGTCGAGGCGGGCGCCGCGGCGCGGATGAAGACTAAGTACACGACAGCTCATAGAAATTCCTAAATCGCCCGGTCAGGGCGTATCCCCGGGCGACCGCGGTCGTCGTCCGGGCGTCGGCCCAAGGCCGCGTCGTCGTCCCACGGATGTGCACACTCGCCGAGCGGGCCCGCTCGGCTCGCCCCGCCGCGACTTCGGACGCTGGCCTCAACGTATCCGTTCTGAGAAACGCCCTCCCGGGAGGCAGCCCCGCCGTCGTCGTCCTCCTCCGGCCATGCGCGTCGCCCTCGCCGCCCTTCTCGCCGCGTCCGCGGCGGGCGTGCCCGACGCTGAGTACCTGCGCGCCGTCGCGGCCGACTTCGACGGCCGCGCGGCGGACGGGTTCCCGCCGCGGCCGCCGGGCGCCGCGCTCCTGCTGGCCCTGGGCCTCGCGGCGCTCCTCGTCGTCCGCGACGTCCGCCGGGCCGCGGGCCGGCGCGCCGCCGGCGCCGGCGACCTGCTGGCGCCCGCGCTGCTCGCCGCGCTCGCCGCCGCGGCCGCGGGGCCCGCCGCCGCCGCGGCCGCCGCCGCGTTCGCGGCCGCCGCCGCCGCGGCCGCCGCCGCCGCGCCGCCGCCGGCCGAGGCGCCGGACCTCGAGCGCGGCGCCGACGCGCCGCCGGCGGCCAAGACGCCCGGGGCCGCCGGCGCCGCGCGCCGCGCGGGCGCCGCGCGCCTCGTCGACGCCGCGTCTGGCGCGAGCGCCGCGCGCCTCGCGACCGCGGCGGCGGCGACGAACACGGCCGTCGCGACGACCGCCGCGGCGACGAACACGGCCGCCGCGCGCCTCGTCGACGCCGCGTCTGGCGCGAGCGCCGCGCGCCTCGCGACCGCGGCGGCGGCGAC